CTGTATTGACTTCACATAGGCCTGTTAAACGAGACAGATTCATTTGTTTCAGCAATAGTAATAACTTACTAATTAGGATACAGGCTTTAACCTTACCTCAGGTTGTTACGTCAGCTTTACCCCAGTAGAGATCACTAAAGTTGGCCCTTCTTAATGTTAGATCCCTCTCAAACAAAACTTTTATTCTAAATGATTTTATCTCTTCTTCTGACTTAGACTTTATGTTTCTGGCTGAGTCTTGGCTACGTCCTGGTGATCACAGTCAGCTTGTTGAACTATGCCCCCCGGAATATGACTGTTTTAGCTGCCCCAGGGAGTGTGGCCGTGGGGGTGGCCTTGTAGCTGTTTTTAGAAAGCACTTTAAATGCATTCAAATTGCATGTAACGATTAGTAAGTGCTTTCACTCAAACTTGCCGTCATCTACCGCCCCACCCAAACCAGCTGGTCCCTTCATGCTGGAATTCCCTGAATTTTTTTTTGTGGATAGAATTCTTATTTGTGGTGATTTTAATTTGCATATTGACAAGTCTTCAAATATCCCAGCTCTTCATTTTTTTAAGTATCATTCATTCTTTTAATTTCACTCAACATGTGTCTGGCCAAACTCATCACACTCTAGACCTGGTCCTTAGCTTGGGTGTGAAGATGTCAGCTGTAGAAATTAAGGACATCTTTATATCAGTTCAGAAATCAGAAATACTTCTATAAATACTTAAATCCCCGAGGGGAAATTCTGTGTCACAGTTGCACACATTGCACAAAAGGTAAAAGGCATATAAATAAAGACAGAAAGTCATTATATAAAGAAGTATATCAGAATAAAACATAAAAGAAAAGAAAATATAAAAGAGTGTGGATATGTACAATATTTACATAGTTAAAGGAATTGTTATGGTACAGTATTTACATAATAAGCAAATTATTGTGGTGAACAGTAAAAATGAATAAATAGTAGCATCATAATTGCAGCAGAGAGTATTGCACATTAAGTATTTAAGCAGGTATTCTCGTACAAAACAGATAATAATTTCCAGTTTAAAACTAACTAAGTATCTGTGTGTCCGACACTTAGAGGGAGGAGTTACAAAGTTTGACGGCCACAGGCAGAAATGACTTCCTGTGGCGCTCTGTGGTGCATTTCAATCACAGGAGCACTTTCAATGCACTTTCAGTGCTCCTGTGATTGAGCAGCAGGTCATGGAGTGGGTGGGAGACATTGTCCAAGATGTAGCTTAGACAGCATCCTCCTCTCTGACACCACCGAGAGAGAGTCAAATTCCACCACCACAACGTCACTGGCCTTGCGGATCAGTTTGTTGAATCTGTTAGCGTCCGCTACCCTCAGCCTGCTGAGATCATCAGGTCAATCATTTCCAATGTGAATTCCAGGCTGCTAGTGTTGCCCAGTCTTTCTTAAAACAAACCCAGTTTAATTGAGCATAACGCCTCTAAGTTTGGTGCCCTCTTCAGTTCATTTAGCAATGTGCCCCCTGATATCTCCTCCACTAATGATTTTGTCAACTATTTTAATTCCCTCTCTACCTTAACCATTGATCTCATAGCCCCTCTGAAAAACAAACAACACTTAAAATCCGCAAAGGAACCCTGGTTAAATGGAGATATCAGAAGCTGCAAACGGGAATGCAGAAAAACAGAACAAAGATGGAAAAGAATCAGGTCTCCAGGTCCACTACCCGGCCATAAAAGAGTTACTATCTACGTACAATAGTTTGGTAAAAGATGCAAGAGCTCACCATTTCTCAAATCTTATTGCTGCCCACCAGCACAATCACAGTTTTCTTTTTAAGACTCTCGATCTGTTGGTAAACCCTGCCTCTCCCTGTGCCTCTGCTGATTGTGATACAGATTGTGAGACATTTTTAATACACTTTGTCAGTAAGGTGGAATTATTAAGAGCCAGTATTAGCCCAAACCCTGCCTTTTTAGATGTTGATGCAAAGTTTTTTTTGTAGTATATTAGCCCACACCTGCTTTTAATTTTTAACAGCTCATTATCTACTGGTTGTGTCCCGGTCTGCTTCAAGACTGCATGTGTACAACCTGTCCTAAAAAAACCTAGCATTGACCCCAACATCCTTGACAACTACCGCCCAATTTCTAAACTGCCTTTTCTTTCAAAAACCCTTGAAAAGATTTGAAACTTGAAAAGGTTTCTAAGCAGCTCCTTGTTGCAAGGGAAAATAATTGTATCTTTGAAAAAGTCCAGTCTGACTTCCGTAAGCATCACATTACTGAGACAGCACTCTTGAAAGTTACCAATGACCTCCTAATGAACGCTGATGCAGGCATATGTTAAATACTGGTTTTGCTGGATTTAAGTGCTGCCTTTGACACCATTGATCATGGCATCCTGTTGAACAGACTGAGGCACTGGGTTGGGTATGCGGTACTGGACTGAACGGGTTTGTCTCATACTTATCCAATAGGAAGTTTTGTGTCAATAAATAATTTAAGTCTACCATCAAATGCGGTGTGCCTCAGGGGTCAATCCATGGACCTATTTTGTTTTCTATTTATATCCTTCCTCTGGGTGATGTCATATGCCGGCCACAGTTATACCTACCTGTACAGCCCACTGACCTTAGTATGCTGAGCTCACTACAGGACACACACACACACACACACTTCCTGTGATCAAAGTGAGAATTTATTAGCTAAATGAGTACAAAGTGAGAGTAAATAATACCAAAGAAATAATACGATAATGACTAAACAACCAGGATGCAATCAATGAGAGTAATAGGGTTCAATGTGAATTTAGTTTTTGGCTATTCTGGAGAGGATATGACTAAATGAATAAGAGACAAATGGACGCAAGTTATCATCATAACTTCACAACTAAGTTCAATTGATTATGAGTTTCATGATCGGCTGGCTTGTGTTGCTGGTGGTTGCGGGAAACTCTCGCAGTAAACAGGCCGGCTATCGTCGGTTGATGTTCTCTGTGTTACCGGTGGCGTAACTGACTCACGTGGCTGACCTCTGACTTTGTTGTCGTTGGGAGAAGTGAAGTTAACATTAGTTCGAACCGAAATAAAAGCTTTAAAAGAAACTTGTTTGTTTCTGAGTTAAGAGTTGCGTGCGTTAAAAGGTCTGATAACTTTAAACAAAAAACAAAAGGTAAATTTACCGAAGGTTCTATAGACCTTGCGGATATAGGCTAAGTATGTTGCTGTGAGATAAAGGAAAACTTAGGAGTTGCGGAGATTCTTCCTGGGGCCAAACTCTTGGATGCTGGACGTTGCGAGACATATTTTACTTAAAGAGGTGGTATTATGCTTTTTGGCTTTTCCCCTCTCCTTTATTGAGTTTTATACCTTTTTTGTCCATGTAATAGGTTTGCCATGTGAAAAAGCCCAAAGTCAGAAAACACTTCTCTGGACTTTCCCTTTGCAAAGCTAAATGCGCCTCATATAACGCTCGCCAAGCGGCTACTCCGACACGCCCTCAAAAACACTGATCTGCAGCACACACCTCTCCTCTCCCTTCCAAACACTAGCTACCCTCCAGGCAGTCAATGGACATAAAGTTGTTACTGTGATGTAGAGACAGAGCTCAGTTAAAACTTTATGGATGAAAGATACTTTTGTTACAGATTAATAACTCACCACTCTGAAACTCTTGCTCCAGTATATGTTAACAAGCCGGTCGGCAACATGTACAGCTCAACTGAAGCCAGGCTTCTCACTGACCCGTCCTTCTCTGCTTCTGATTGGCTAGTAGTCCTTAATTAGGAACTGCGCATGTGCAACTTCCAACAAAGATCATTTAGAGACAAGATGTGTCACTCCATAGCTAAAGCGAAGCATTACAACACAGGGTGAACGGAGGAGCTGCAGCAATGCACTATAGACAAAAAATATGGTGTGTTTTGAAAATTAAACCATGTAAACCTGTTCTGGTACAACCCCTAAGTAGGATTTTGAACTTGAAAATGAGCATAATACCACCTCTTTAAGAAGATATGAGGAGGTATTTGAACATGGCATCAGATTAAACAACAGACACAGACAAGAATGTACGCTTAAAGATGAGGTTTAAGAACAATGCATGTTATACCTCTTTTGTCCTCTGGGGGACACTGGTTTCATGAATGGAGGCTGAAGATAACTTTGATTACTTAAACTTTAAATTCAATCCTTGGTCCAGGAGCTGGGAAAATTCATTGTATTACACAGGATAATATTTCTGTACCATATAAATTCTCCTTTTTCACATTTGTCCTTTTGGTACATAGATTTTGCCTGTATAGGGAATGATTGGGCATCTCTTCAAAATCACAAAGTCCTGTAGCATTTTATGACCGCAGAATGTAGTGACTCAGTTCTACACTCATGTCAGAAGAGTAAACAAAGGGGGACCCTTTCCTTTGATCTGTGGCAGTGTGTGTGTGTTGCAGATCCAGTTTGGCCCTTTAGTTTATAGTCTCTGTCCATAGAGGTCCTGACAGCCTGGTTCCGGGTAAGGTTAGTCTCTGGACTAATATAAGGTTAAAATTGTTATTGCGTAGAGTTCGTTATCTCAACTTCACCGGAGATGGTGGGCTCTATGGTTAAAACCTCCCAACCAGCACTCAGAGTGGAAATAATAAGTGTTTAATGTAGCAGACCTTTCAAACCCCCTCCCCGTTTTGTGTTTTGGACCTCTAGTCGGCCTGTCTGCTTGACGGGTGATAACTCACCCCCCTTCTCTTAGAGAGACAAAGAGGGAGATGCTGCATTCTTCTTTTTGACATGAAATAATTAAGTGTCCACTGGTTGGTTCACTACACAACTATTTAATAAATGTATTTCCTCCTGTTTATGAGCCAGCCTAAGTCCTAAAGTTGACCAGAGAAATCATGCACACGCAGATTAAGATACTAGAAGGTCAGCTCGTCACTGTGTAGCCTCTCACATGTGAAGGCACCCATCGATGGCATGTGATCATTTTTCAACAGGAAATTCACTTGTTGTAACAACAAATGGAAGAGGCAGGATTTAAAAAAAAAAACAAAACACTGTTTTATTGTTGTCATAATCTGTCTAATGTATAATCCTTTACAGAACACAAAACATTTGTTTTCACATTTTGCTACAAGTTTAACACATTTTCTCCTAGTTCCTTAATTATTATTTACATTTTGAGAAGTTTTCAGAGATTTATTTAAAGAAACTGGTCAGTGATCATATGATACAGAGGGCGAAGCAAACGTGTTGAGAAGTGTGCTTGCTTGATGTATATCTGTGGGGAGTATGTAGATGCAATTTACCAAAACCAAAGAATTGCATTCTAGTCTTTTTCTGATTTTTGCTACTTTTTGCATACTTTTCTGACAGTGGTATTAAAAAAGTCATAACAGCATAGACTTTCTACAGACCTTTAACTCAACTTGCACATTACCTTTAACCTACTGCCCCCTCATTCCACATTTGCACCCTTCTCATTCTTTACAAATCACTGAAGGTGTGAGTATATTAAAATATTTTTGCTGTCGCATTAAAGGTACATTATGTTAAAACTGGAATGTGGAACAATTACACTGGTTATGGATGTAATTTGTGCAAATTTGTTGCACAATCAATTTTTATTTAACTTGTCCACATTAATATTATTCCACAATGGTACCTTTAATAAAGGGGCAACACTGATTGATCATTTAGGAGAGTGGTTCCTTGTCAATGCAAGGAAAATGTGTTTCTATAATAATACTGATTCTGACATTCTGACCAGTTCTTCAGTCAGTGCCGTTGGTGTACTGGGAAAGCTTATTCTCCAAGTCACAGATTCTCTTCTCCTGAGACAAAACGGTGGCCTTCAGATTCTGAATCTCCTCCAACAACCTCTCAAGCAACTGAGGCTGGACAGGAGAAGAGGGGAAAGAAGGACAAAAAGGACACGGAAGAAGAAAGGAAAAAAGACAGTGACAGGGAGGGAAAAATTAAGGATTAAGAAAAACAGAAAGAGGAAAAATAGGTCAAGGACAGTGAGCAACTAGAAAAAATAACCAAAACAAGAAGGGGAGCTTTGGGGGAAAAAAGTTGTGGGCAGGTACAAATAGAGGAGAGATAAACAGAAACATGTTAAAAGGAGAGGCAGATGTTCGTAAGAGTAACGGTGTATTCAGTTTATGGGCTCCAAAGCTAAAGAAGAAGTTTTTTTCTATTGAAAATGTGCGACACAATGCTATATATCTAATGTAGTATAACAAACCAGTGGTCCACATACAGGATATACATTATGTGAACATGTAACAACAGGTAACATAATGCATGCCACAACTTACCGGCAGACTGTTGGTTTCCAAAGTGGACATGCTACGTCGGGTGGTGGGTCTGGAGTCCAGCAGGTTCTTTTTTGCCACTTTGAGCTCTCTGCTCTTGGGTGGCACATAGCCGCCCCTCATGGACACAAGAATTGGATCTTCGTTGCGGCCCTCCAGCCACTCTTCAGGCTCCATGGCGGGATCAGGCCCAGCTGTGTCCGGGTACAGGTCGTCCTGGAAGAGGTCCGACTGTGCAAAAGAGTTGTCGGGGTGAAAAACCGTGACATATTTTAGTTTTGTTTTGTAACATGTGGTGCAAGGTGCAGCTCATTTTAATTGCTTCAACACATCATAATTTATAAACTCATCATATGTTTTGTAGGAAAATATTAATCAAAAACTAGTAACTAGAGCTTTTGGGGGGAAATGTAGCAGAGGGAAAACATTACCAACATTACATTATTAAGTATGAAGTAACATTAAATGGAAATACTGAAGTAAAGTAAAAGTACCTCAAAATTGTACTTATGCACAGTACTTGAGTAATGTACTCACTTACCTTCGACCACTGTGACAGTTAAAGGTTTGTAGGGTCAGTTGGACTTACTTTTCTGGGCACTGTCATTGTTATGGGCTCACACTTCTTGTCAAGGAGTTTGAATAATCTAAGAGGACAGGTGAAAAGAGGAGAGAAGACAGCCTAGTTGTGGTTTTCCACATCTGTGTATCAGCTTATACTTTATGTTCGTAAGCGTAACCTATAAGATGATCTCATGCACTCTGAGAGTTGCGTGATGGATAATTCATTACATATGGACATTTCTGACATAAATGCAGTGGATAAAATAGTATACACACAGCTGCCAACCTGAAATTAAGTGAAGTATAAAGTATATAGTTAGATAAGTGAAGTTCTCTCTAAACTGTACACACAAAACAGCAATTACAAATATGTAGCCTTGTGGTGGATACACAATTAATGGATCATATTTTCACTGATGGACACTGCAATAACTAGTACGTATTTGTAAATGCTATTAAACTGAACTCTGGAGGGTGATATACTGACAAATTCATTAAACCAGTGGGATACCTGATGGTCAGAGCTAAACTTAGTAATATGAAAACCACACCATCAAGCCTGTTACATGTAACATCTCCTGATGTTATTGAATCACTTGTCAGTTAAGGCATCATTACCAAAATTAGAGTTCCATGGCCACCTTTAAGCGACATCTGTAGAATTTACATCCCATTAAACAATGCTATAAAGCTGTGATCTATGCTCATTTATTGCATAAGCAGTATCTTACCTAGCAATCTCACATTTGCTGACGTCCACACCTCTCTTGGGCATGAAGCCCATCCCTCTCTGGGGCTCCTTACTGCTGAAGGTATTGAGGTAGTGGACGTACGGCGGCTCGTCTGTGATCTCAAAGTAACGGATACTGCTGTCCCCCTACACACACACACACACACACACACACACGCACACAAATACAGGAAACACATTACACATATTAAACATGTCAAAGATAAACATGACATTGTCATTAATAAGGATGGAAATACAATGGATCTGCACATATTTATGTACATATTAAATAGCATATTTACAAACATGATTTGAATCATTAAACCTAAATGTCTCTGCACCTTTCCACAGAGGTAGACCATGTTTGCATCTGCATCATAATATGGTAACAACACTCCATTGCTTGTGTCCAACTCCAGCAGTGCAATGGGTTCCTCAAAGTTTGTCTGTGGGGAGTAAAAACAATGAAGGAGGCCAACAATTTGTTGTGTACACGTATATAAGTGCATGTATATTCCTGCACATTTTTTAAATGCATGAACAGCATGTGATATTTGAATTGCTCTTACCGGGTCCCAGAGTCCGAGCTCTCTCTGGCTCATCCTGGTGAATCCTGTGGTGAAGATGTTTCCGTCTCTGGTGAAGATGGCTCTCATTGGCCGGATCCCCTCGTGTGGAGCCAGACGTTCCTGTTGGTCAGCGGAGGGACAGACATTACTACAAGAGTTCATTTTTTTTATTCCCTTTTTTTGGTGTCTGGGGATTCATTTCAACTCAGCTGATCGCATAGAGTTATTTGTTTAGGCTTATGGGGAAAATAAGTGTTGTCAAAGGTCTAGTGATCCATTCGAAGCCTCAAGTTACTTCCTCCCAGCTAAGAAATAATCCAGCAAATCACCCCTTGTAAAGCGGCGTTAGTGAACTTCAGAAGTAAGCCTACTGGTAAACTTACTTTGTTACAGTTACAGAGCCAGACTAGCTGTTTACCCCAGTCTTTGTGCTAAGCTAATCAGAATGAGCTTTATTGCAAAGTAGCATTTTACAGGTACGAGGAACTTTCTATGGTGATAAGGTGCTAGACATAAACATACAGTTGACATAAACAGATTTAAAAAAATATAAATGTGGAATTAACAGATGCAAATTATAAATGAATTATCGAAGTATGTGTAAAAGAAAAACTAAACAGAGCGGCAGTTATTTACGTGTGTAAGCATGTAGCTAAACTAGCTGGCTGCTGGCTGTAGCCATACATTTTACGGGGTGTGGAATCAATCTTCTAAGCTAACTCTGCTTCAGAAAATTGAAAAGAGAAAAGAGTATTTCCCAAAATATCAACCCTTACTTTAATGGGTCCTTTCCAGGATCAGCAGAAATACTTTTATTCTTCTGGCCTTATAATATACTCTTTTGTTAAAGCAGTTCAGATAGTGGTATTAGAATGAATTTTACTGTGAAGCATATATTTAGTAGTATTTTCTACTCACTCACCGCAACCACCTCCCTCTTGCGGGGGTCGCAGACACGCAGACGACGGTCCTTACAGGTGGTGCAAAACAAGCTGCCGTTACGGTTCCAGCTGATACTGTAGATTAGGTCTGGGTGGTCGTCCATGGAGATGAGGGGCTCGCCTGTCCCCACGTTCCAGATAATAATCAGGTTATCACTGCCTGAGGTCAGAGGAAAAAAATGGACATCTGAATGTTATGTAAGAAGAGGAAGGGGGAGAATCCCTCATTTGTTTCTTTTAATCACACTCACCTCTGTCACATGAAGTCAAAAGATTATAAGTTTTTGAAGGAAACTGGGATGTGTGTGTGTGTGTGTGTCCTACCCGCAGTGAGGAGTATGTTGCGTGCGGTGGGATGCCAGCTGACGATGCCAACACGTTTGGAGTGTCCCTCCAGGACCACAATAGGATCGGAGAGGGGGCGGGTCAGTGAGTGATCTGGAATCTGCCACACCTGGAGAGGAGTGATGAAGAAAAATTAAAGCATTGATCTTGATGATGTTGCACAAGAAGTGTTATCTGTTCAGTAATTAGTGTATTAGAAATTACTGTAAATTGGTAGTCTACTTGAAGTATATGCCAATCCATTTAATGCTCCTGGTGACAAGTAGGACTGCCATGTTTTTTGAGACACCTCTAATAGATTTGTTGAGGTGTTTGTGAATGAAAGGAAAATCAACTTGTTTGAATTGCCTTTCAGTCATTTCATTTTCACACTTTAAAAAGACACCATGTGTAAATTCTGTGTAACTGCAGAATGCAAACCACTGCTCTGGTTGTTTAAACCTCCAAAATCCCAGAAACAATACCGAGAACATGACTTTAGTGTCCTGACAACAGGGTTAGCATGTCACAGTACTTCCTTATAAAACAGCATACAGGCAAGTCATGACATGAGCATGTGACCTGAACAGGTGCAACTTTATGCACTATGTTGTGCTTTTATGAATTCCTTCCTTCCTTCACAGGAGGGTGCCACAAAAACATTAATGACAAAACTGGTCCAGAAAAACACATTTCTCAATTTCTCACTTATAGCTTGTTGAAATGTGGGCTTTTAGTAGGTGATTTGTCGATCCACATAAGACACACACAGCTCTGGCCCTGTTGCTCCCCAGTATCTCTCTCTCTCTCTCACACACACACACACACTAATGAGCCTTTTCAGATGACACAATGATCTCTCTGAACTGATGAGACTGACATCACAGTTATGGTCTTTCTGCTTCACAGCAGCACCACTGCCAAGACTGGACAGCTGCAACTGTCTGTCCATGTGTGGGACATAAACAAAGCATACACACACAAATACTCACACACACATACACACAAAGGGAAACCCACTGCATTCAAAACAGCCTCCCAGCAGCTGTTGCCATAGGAGAAGCAGCGTTTCAAATCAATCGATAGCACAAAGATTCCTGCGATGTTGTTGTGAACAAGTGGGAGCAAATCTGTCCTCAGTGACAACTGTGGATGCACAGATACATGCTGAGTCAAGAGGCATGTTGTCATAATACAAATTTATATTTGACACATGCTGACATACTTAACATAATGAACATTTGTGTGCACACACACAAAGCAAAGTAACTTAAGCAGTATATACTTTTTAAACCAAAGTAACAATATTTATTTGTCTATTAAGCTAAAAGGGTTTAAGTAACTGGACCATAATATTTTAATATCAAGTTATAGAGTTACTGAAGAGAATCTGAAATGTTATCATAAAATATCATTATTAAATATAATTAAACACATTATTTGTAGCCTAATAGTTATATTTACCACCAAGTACATCTTTATTTTGTAGTTTTTGTTGCTGCTATTATGAAAGAAAAGGCATCAAGATTAACGCTAAAACATTGCTGTAGTTCATTAATCAATTAGTCTATTTACAGAAACTATTTTGATAATCAATTATCAATGAATATAATTTGAGCCATTTTAAAGCAAAAACACCCAAAGTGTACTTGTTCATGCTCCACCAATGTGAGGATTTTATGTTTTTCTCAGTTTTATGTTCTTGCAAACTGAATATCTTTGTGTTTTGGACTGTTAATCAGACAAAATAAGAAATTTGTCACTGTCACCTTGGGCTCTGGGAAACTGTGACATTTTCAAATATTTTACAGATCACACAACTAATCTATTAAATCAGGAAAATTATCTGCAATTGAATCTATAAGAGAAATAATTGTTAGTGGCAGCCCTAATCTAGGTCACCTAAGGAGTTGTCACAATTATCATGTGAAAAAAAAATCATGTGTTTACAATGTTTATAGGCTAATAGCAAGATGGGAAAAAAATATTATATAAAAACTGGAAATTAAAAGGGGATAAGTCCTAGATGCCTTAAAGCTAGTTCACACTGCACGATTTTTAGCCCGATTTGCTTGCTCGGTGACCGTCAGACTGTGATGGGAGTAAATCAGTGGCTGATTGACATGTGTAGGATATGTGTGAACTACTCAAGGACGCATCAAAAGGGGTCCCCCACACATCACTGCCACATCGCCTACTTCTGCCAGATATCTAGCATTCCAAATAGCCTATCTGGAGAAATCAGCTGACTCGACATCCACATCCAGCCAATGAGAGCAGGCAGCTACTTTTTCCACGCAAAACCCTTTTTACTCACCTTCAGCCCTTTCTGTAGCTCAGACAATCCCTGCTACCTGCCAGTGCTAATCCATCCTTTCACCCAGATTCTTTGTCTTTATAATTTCTATCTTTATAATAACAAACAACAGCTGTTTCGTCGTGTCATTTCCCCTTTCACGTGTGTTTTCTTGACAAAATGTGGTTTGGAGACCATGCGACAGATGCCACAGCTCTGTCAGCTCGTGTAGTGTGTGACCCCCTGTCACCGATCAGTCACGTAGTGTGAACGACTTCAAGACTCCAGTTACAAGACGGCAAGTTCTGTAGTGTGAACAGCACGGCCATCGGCCAACACTGACAGTCGTGTAGTTTGCACAAGCCTTAAGGGGGTTTTACAGTAAATTAACTTTAGTGTCACAAAGTATAGTACAATCAGTATATTTTCATATTCAATTGCACCCGCTTACATTACAGAACTCCTGTTCCCTTATCACATTATGAGAGAACTGAGATCTTCATCCCATTGTCTGACTCTCCCCCACTATTGAGATTTTCAAGAGTCATCTTAAAACACACTTTTACTCACGAGCCTTTAACCATGCCTAACTTTACCACTTCAGGAATTTCCCCTGAAGTCTCAATTATTATTCTACTACTACTCTCATCACTAGATCATTTGTGTTGTAAATAAATAAAGTTGAGTTGAGTTGATTTGAGAGTGAACTATCGCTTTTCATTTCCTGCAGTCATGGCTTTACAGTGACCCCTGCTGACTGAACTCAGTCATGAGCTTCAGGGCCACATACCTGCACTGTATCCCAACCAGGCCTACAAAAACTACTAGAGCTTCTATTCAGTCCAAAATTCAATATTGACATTAATATATGTTTATGTTTACAACTCTTACCTATTCTGCACTGTGTGTATGTATTAGGATTTTAAATATACACTTTCCTCCCATCCCATTTCCCATATTTAAATTCAAACTAAACTGTCAGAGCTAACTTTTAATTATGCGCTGTCCAAGTTGAAGGCTCTGTGGAAAAGAAGATGTGGAGTTCACAACACAGCTTGTAAGTTGACATGATTTTAACAGGATTTGCTGCTGTGTTACAATGAGGAGGCTGGTCGCAGACAGAGAATAGAGTCTGACTAACTTGTCATGGCCAAAATACGATGAGTAGACTGATGAGAGATATAGAGGGGGCGGAACAGGTGGGTGGACAGTCAGACAGGTAGACAGTAGACACACTGGTGCATTGACTGATTCACTTCACTTATTTAAACGGGCAGGTAAACATGACAATCTCAGGCCGAAATGACCTCCATCACTGTTATCTGAGTCACCAAACAACAAACTCATCTACATGCATTTGCAACTTCTCTCTCCCACTCAGAAGTAGTTTTGTTTTCCTACACACACATACACACGCATTACCATTGCAGTACAGTCCTCCGAGCAGCTGGCCAGAACGTTATCGTCATGAGGGCACCAGTCAATATCAAGAACAGGTCCAGAGTGGCCGATCACCAGAGGGTAGTTCTTATCCACACGGCCTGACTGTAACACAGAGCAGCAGTGACATGGTGGACTGAGTTCGGACATAAAATAGGTGATTAATAAAACAGTAGTAGGCGTTGATTTTCAGGTCAACAAACATCAGAAAATAGTTAAAATCAGGTTCCAATGAAAGGTTATGGATACATTCAAAGTTACATGAAACCGTTGTTTCAACAGGATTTCAGTTACTTTTTTTCAATGTGAAACAGGTACGAACTAATTCAGATTGAAAGTTTCTTCTTGACTTTGGAAATTATGAAACATTCTTACCCTAAGGTCCATTTAGTAGCAGATCCCCAGCTTTTGATCGTATCCCACAGCTTCCTCTGCAGACGGAGTTTGCTTAGTTGTCATGGAATTGTAGATGTAAAAATTTCCCTTTTTTGAGTATTTCAAAGACTGTTCTTTCAACTACTACTTCCATGATAAAGAATAACTTTCAATTTAAAATTTTAAGCAACATGGAGAAATCCTTAAACAGCTCAGAAAAATGGAAATTTTAACAAATACAATCCCATAACCACTGGGCAAACCCCATCTGCTGATGAAGATCATGTGATATGATCAAAAAATGGACCTTGCTGTGAGATTGCTGGTCCAAACTACATGCTGAAATAGAGTAATTGAAATGCTGTCGAAACAACCATTGATTTGTCCTGATGGTAGGTCATGAGGCAAAAAATTGCTGTTTGGCCCCTATTGTCCCCTGACCTGTTGCCCTCATTGAGTTTGTACCATTTTGTCTCCTATTCCTACTAATACAGTGCACATAGCAGACTATACAGTCCACTCCATGAGAGAAACTTCAAAATTATTTCATATTGTACTTTAGTTCTGCCCTATTTTTGGGGCCCTGGAGGCAGTGTTATTAGTCTGACTTTGAGGAAATTTACGTGAAGAGTTTTGTCTGAATGTATCTCTGATTTAAACAAGACCGAATGTAAACCTTCAAAATACAACTAAAACCTTAAAGAAAGAAGCATGCAGCTTAAAGGGACTTCAAGGAAAAAGACATTTTTAGATGATCCAAACTAAAATCATAATGTTACTTCCAGGTTATTTCGTGTCTCCCTGTTCCTATCGTGTGAACATGTGTATCAGCTTTTGAGATATCACTCCCTGCACACACATACAACAGACACCCCAAGTGAAGTGTATTTATAGCTAACGGACGAGGCGTTGAAAGGGGAGTTTTTCTTGTGGCCCGTTGGGGACCCAGAGGGGGAGATGGAGGATGGAGAGCGCGTCGGTGTGTATTAATAGCAAACCTGTTCACCATGACTCCAGTATATAATCACATCCATTTTCCCTGTGTCTCCAAAAAACTGAGTATGGCTCTTGCCCGTTGACACTAATAATTAGCACTGCTGATGATTCTTAGCAGTGATGACTTTGTTTCTAAATTGCTCATCTCAAATAAAGTCCATCACAAAAAGAGTTTAAAATCTATTTTACTTAGTTAGGATCGCTGGAGTAGCATATCCTAATATGATAATGTATTGAAATATTATCTCCCACCACATCTAAATATTGACACAAGTTTAATTTGGTCTTTCTAATGTCCATCATTTATTTTAAGGCAATGTTGTTATGATCACGAGGCCCCACACCCCACTAAAGCATCGCAGCTTTAAATGTCTGATCTGTCTCGACCTGTTGCTTTTACTGTCGCTGCAATGTCAGTATCCTTCCCAAGGCTTCCCCAACATGACAGCTAGATGCAATATTATATACTCCGGTATTAGAAGGAAAAACATACTAAATCAAGTTAAAGGTTAAGCTATTGTAACCAACACGCTGCCGATACCATGACTTGGCACTGATCAGCCTTGAAAAGGTTTTGAAAACAGTTTGTTTTTAGTCTTAATATGAATTACATTTACCTTATAAGTCCAAATGAGACACGAGTTTTTCTTTGTATTTCAAACACCAAGAGTCACATGCATTGTTTGACCTCAGTGCAGAACTGTCTGCCAGGAGCTTTGGAAGTCTTTTTCTTCACCCTCCCCATTATGCAGCCTGCTGATTGTATCATGTAACATGATCATCTGGTTATATTACTTATAGCTAATGCTTATAGCCATCTGAAACTGTGGCCACGCTGCTTTTAGTATTCAACATGGAATTGCCTTTAGTGACCTTGATGAGCTGAACAAAAAAGTCAGGTGATGAACTATGAGATATAAAAAGGTTACAGGCTGTTCCTTTGGGGGGAAAAAAAAAAACTCTCTTTACTTCTCTTTCTTTTCTTCCTCTTTCCCCGTAAAGTTCCCTCTATTCTTTCTTCTCATTTCCCCTGACTCTTATATGAGAAAAACACCCTGCTGCAACAGTTGGTGACAGCATGGGACATGGGCAGATGCAGGGAGCTGATTGACAGGGATATAGTTTATAGTCAGCATGCCGACAAACCCGTAATAAAAACTCAACTTGAATATCTGTTTGCAGCATGCAAAAATCAACATGTTCAACACAGAAATCCCTCACAAGGAAGGAACGGCTCATATACTCAAATTAAGGAATGAACCAAAGTCGATAGGATTTATTCTATTCAGGACCATGAACATCTGTATAAATGACATGCCATCCATGGAGCCATGACACTAGTGTGGCTAAAAATGTATAATCTTGCCCAAAACAAAGCGTATTATTCTCGCTGTTTAATCACCTAAAAGGAAAAATAGGCACATGTATGTCAGTGTTGACAAGGATACAGTAAGTGTTTTGTATTACTTGGATATTCAGCCATATTTATTCAAGCCAGAGAAGAGAGAGAGAGGCTGCACGGTGGTCCAGTGGATAGCACTGTGGCCTCAGACCCTGGTCTAGGCTCTGGTGTCCCCCACCATCAAAACATGCCAGGTTCTTCAGTCGGTGCCATTAACCAGACACTGATATAAAAAAATCTGGAATTGGTCCCCAGGTGCTGCACAGCGGCTGCTCCCTTGAGGGATGGGTTAAATGCAGAGAATGAATTTCGCAACATGTATGTGTTTGTGACAACTAAAGTACCTTTGACATTTGAGAGGCTGAGGCTGCCACTCAAATCGCAGCTGTGAATAGGCTATATGGCCCCTCCAGAACCTGAACCGCCAAGGCCAAACATCAACTGGTGGTGCCTTTACTCAAACTGACCCCTGATGCAAACAAAAACTGAATGATTCTGCTATTAATTTCATTGTGGGCACTTATTAACAACACTGACTAGACAGTAACTTAAAAAACGTGCCAACTTTCTCTTTGAGGTTAAGTTGGCACCAGACGGAAACAAGAGAAGAAAAGAGGAAAAAAGCGCTATAGAAAAGTACAGAAATCCAGGCAAAGGCAGACTTGACCTGCATATTAATTATAAAGAGCACATACACTACCAATTCAATCATGTAGAAAACTAAAACATGTTAGGTGTTTAATGCAGAGTTTATCAAATTTTTGCAGCTTTGGGATCATCATTTTCAGAGGCAGACAGATTTACACGAACTCAAAGACATTCTGTTCGGTTTCCACCCTCTGCGGCCCAGGAATGTTTCCCCTTTGACCTTACTGACCTTAGAGAGGGGCAGGACCAGGAACGAACCTCCACCGCTGGATTCAACGATGACCGCCAGGAACTTTGGGTTGACGGCGCAGAAGGAGCTGTCCCACGTCACCTTGGAGACACGGATGTCATCGTAGGCCTGCTCAGCCTTGACCGTCTGGCCAAAGACGTGGCGAAACTTACTCTGCCGCACAATGCTGCGACTCATGGCTGAGGAGTGTGGAGGAATGTAGGGTGGATGTAGAGATGAAGAAACAAAGGATAGAAGAGGATGTACGGAGAGTAATGGGGAAGTAAGAAAATAGTGTGAAGGAGGAAGGAGAGAAAGAGGGGGATAAAAAAGGGGATATAGAGATGTCAGAAGAGGGTTAAACAAAGAAATTTAGATAAAGAAGTAAGATGTGGAAAAAATAGCATAATCATCCAGAAAACAAAATGTACTGTATATTCATTTTGGAGGTCATTTTCTTTGTAAGTCTCAATCTGGAACAAGACTTCTAGCAAAATAAATCAGATTTCATCCCTACACTGAAGGAACCAAGCCAAGGCTGTATGAGACCACCACAGAAGAGCTTGTCATCACAATATTGCACTCTGCAATCTGCGATGTACTTGCTTTATATCACCTACAACAGTATCCGTCAGTCCTCTTCTTTGACTGTTGAGGCAGGCTACTTAAAATTTTTTTTTGTTGCTGAACAGTTACTATCATTGAATATGTTGTTTTGGAGGAGCATTATGCTTTTTTTCCCCCAAGATGACTCAGTATCTCTATGGTGCTTTCAAGCATTTTATTTTGAAAGTTAACAGGGCAGTTCACTCACCTTTGGTATTTATTTTTTTCAGACTTACAGTCACATTAAGTAGATAAAGGATTCTGCCTATGTCATGCTAGCAAGCAGTGAATTTCATTTTTTATTTTCTTCTTCACTCAGAATCAGGCAGCTGACTGATACAGGCCCACTGAGCATTCGAGATTCAAAAAGTGTATTGTCATATGCACAGTAAAAACCACAACAGCTTAAACCATACAACAGAAAAATTACTTTGAAGTCTCCTTTAAAAATATGTAATTATGTCAATATATACATCTAAATATATAAAAACATTCAAAACAATAAATACATTAAACAACAATATACAGTATACAGACTACAAAATAAAGTAAGGTGCAGCAGAGTAGGCTAAGTAGAAACAAAACCTGAGATCAAAAAAGGTGGACACTTATATCCATCTATACATTTTAAAGGCAATGAAAAACTTTTCTTCTCAATCAGCTTCTTACTATGAGTAGTGGGATCCTGTTCAGTTAGAAAAATGTGATGTCACATACTTCCATGCATCAATCAAAGCTGAGACTCATTTGAATTTGGATCTGATGACTGTTGACTGTCATTACTGTCACTGTCAATCAAATCTGACCCACACAGTCCTGGTGACGCAGATTAGCTGAGTTTGAGTGTTAACTTTTCATAAATAATACCTAAAGAGTTTTTTTTTTTTTTTACTTACTTATTTAGTCATGAATATGTGATATTTCAGCTTTGAGTTTAAGCCAGGTTTTCAGGGGCTTTATATAACCATCTGCTTTTCTCTGATTAATGAACTCTGCAATGTGTTTTTAGGCTGTTTGTTGAGTGACAACTTGCTGATCTGTGGCTGTCCCAGGCCCCGGGCCAGAGGAACAGTAATCCTCCAAAACACAGGAGATATTGTATAACAGGGCCTGCCATCATTGCAGATATTTATAGTTAATTGTGCATCCAAACACTATGTGACGGTCAAACATCAAAGGCCAACACTAAGACACAAATAACAAATAAAAGGCCAGGAGAGAACTTAAGAGACAGTTACAATGTGAAGCTAGCAATACATAGCACAGCAGTTACATTCAATCACACCCACGTGATACAATCCCCATGAGAATATGTAGTCTAAAATGTATCTAACATACACTCCCTGACTGCACTGGCTTACATTAGGCTAAAACTAAAAACCTAAATCTAGAAGTAGGCCTGTGTGAGTCCCTGAAGACTTCTACTAAATGCAGCAGAGTTCTTCCTCTTGCTTAATGGATGATCGTAAACTGTCTGGCTCGTCACAATTAAAATAAAACCACAAAGAGCACCAACTGAGGCCAGGGTCCGCTTCTCCACTAGTCAGGCCTGTGACAAAGTGAACATAAAGTGACCCAAATTGAGGCTTTAAGTGATGATGTCTGACTTTCACACTAGAATATTCTACATTTAGTCCCAAACTGGACTTAAAGACTGTGGGATACATGACTCAACCAGACTGATGAGAGGACGGAAGCTCTCGCTTCTTTCCTGGAAGGATTTACATTCCAGTGACCATTTCAGGAGGGCCAGCTGTGTGGCATTTCAGGGCAAACACAATATCACACATACTTGTGTATATTCTTTTATTGATACTGTGTCAGAGACATGTTGATAGCAAACAGTGGGTTTTTTTCACCTGGCTCTCAAGATAAATTGCAAATCTACAAAGGAAGAAGAGCAAGAAACTCTCCTGCTGCCTGCTGTTCCACAGTGAGAATCCAAACTACCCTTGTCTTAATCTCATCTTCACTCTTCTCAGGAATTTTAACAAAAACAAACAAATTACTTAGGCTAGTTATTATGCATGCCTTTTCATCTGATTTGAACAAGAAATTAAAATAAAATGAATGAATGAAATAAACATAGCTTAAAGTTGATTCTTGACTATTTTGCAAAAGCTTCCACTCTCTCCAAACTGGCTGCCTAATCTAAAAATGTGTAGCCTATGCTTATGGAAACTGGTGGCAGAAATATGTGATGTGATTTAACGTCAGTTGAGTTAAACGACATGCTCCTTTAACTCTGCCTCAGGTTAATGAGCCCTCCCCTGCCGCGCACGGCACGGCTCTGGACAGTCGAGACAGAGCGAAAGAATGACACTGCCACTTTCCTAATATAGACATGACAAACTGCACTGTCCCACCCGGGGCCGGCCGCTCCTCCCACCCGCCAGCCTGATCCTAAATAGTCCCAGAATGAAGGTGACGCACTCTGTGGCGCTGTATTGTTAATGAACGCACCGTAAATTTAAAACAACAATCATTGCGCACAGCCTATACAAACACACATAAACTGGAACATAGGCTGTCAGGGGCCCGGGAGGTGTGAGTGACGGAGGGAGGGGGTTAGCAATGTACAACGTGCTCCTCCAAGTAGCCCACAGCTGCCATGCACGACTGAAGAACTGCTCCGTCCACAGGGGGGTAAAGTGCACAATCACACTGTCCCGTCTTTTCTCAGGATTTCCAAAAGGTGGGGACGCACTCGATCCTCTCCAGCAGTGCAGTAAAGACGCTGACGCACCTCTCACCCCACTGCAGCACTGACACACACATATTAGGAAAGACAGTCCACAAGAAAGCTCACCTCAGGTTTTGGGGAGACCCCTCTTCCCTGGACAACTCTCACGGTTTCTCTTGTATCCTCCTCCTCCTTTGTCTTCTGCTGCTGCTGTTCTTATTCCTTTGAAGGATTTTGCCTGAGATCCGGTTTCCTGGAGTCGGAGCGGACTTGCTGAAGACACGCACTGGACAACTGCGTGACGCTCCTCGGCAGGGAAAGAGAGAGGGAGAGTACCGGGGCAGAGCAGGGAGAGAGGAGGGTGTGGGTGGGTGCCGTCTATTTTGGAACAGGCTCAGTACAGGGAAACGTGACGCGCGCCGGTTACAGGGGGCCAGTGTTACAATTGGTGGCCTCTGTAGACGAATTGTGATTTAAAGAACAGTAATGGAAGATTAAAATGGTAAATAAACACACACACACACACACACAGGTGATCTGATAGGGTTTGCAGAGAGCAGGATAGCAATAAAAATGTGCACATCACATATGAGTTAAAACAACAACAAAAAAGTTTCCAAACTGTTGAATTTGTGGTTATATGGTGTTTTCAAAACTCTTGACACACTTCTCAGTACCAACATGCAGGTCAGCACAATAATTAATATCACATCCAATTTGCAAAATGCTCTTATACAACCAAAACACTTCTCACATGTCAGGATCTGAACACTGAACAGGAACACGAAAATCTTGTCATTCAAAATGACCTAAACAACACAAACAACTCCAGTGGTTCTCAAGGACCCCTGGGGGTCCTTGAGAAGATTCCAGGGCTCCCCAGCAAAAAGGGGAATAATTTATTTTCACTATAATTCAATCCATAAGTATCACAGTGACAGAATGTACAACTGTTTTAGTCATGAGTTTCATACACTTTAAAACATCTTAAAGTCCTATCAGAGGCGCTATCCTGGGACAAAATCTGAATCTGATTTGTGTCAGTTTAGGGGTCCTTGATGTGAAAATGTTTGAGATTCACTATTTTACTCAACCAGGGAAAGAATCTTGTACATGCTTCATACAACCCTGGTAATCATACATGATGGTCATGCACTCCACATCCTTGAGATAAATAATAGGTATGGGGTTGTTTTTGTTGTTTGTTTTTTTACAGATGTAGCAGAATGCACCAAATTGTTGCCTAATTTGAATAATTGTGTATATGTCAGTTTTGACAATAGTAGGTAAACTTGTGAAAAATGGTGGCTGAGTTTGAGTGAGAAAATAGTTCCCCAATTTTCAAAGATGTGGTCACTGTATGCATCAAAGCAATGAAAAGTGATCCATAGTTTAGTCTGCATTGACTGCGGTTGACCTGACTGTGGGGAACTCAGTATAGAGAAATGTGTTGGGGAAAAAAGTAAAAGATGGAATACTGCATGTTCACCTGCTCCCAGTACAGTTAAGATAAGATTAAAGGTATTTCTAGCAATCTTCTTAGAGCTGACATATATATTTCCTGTTAAATGCTTTAGAGTACATTAAACATACTTTACAAGTATAACGTTTACCCTAAATTAAACCTCTACCCACTCCAAATGTGAAAAACAGCCTTTAAATGGATGGAATTGTCTTAAACATATGTTCACCGTTTTGATAAGTTCATAAAAATCTGAAACATCAACAATAAGCACTATAAAAAAAAATGTCAGCAAGTAGCCACTAAGTAATCACAATGGACTAGCTCCCACTACAGAATATACAATCTTGAGGACATGATAAACAAATCTCAGTATTGTGTACGTCTTTCCTCTTGCCTGTACTGATGGATTGTGGTGAACCTCATTTTGCCTCCATTAATACTCAGCAAAAATAAAGATTAAAGCCAGCTAGAGCGATCAGGAAATGAAGGACAGTTTAGCTTTAACACGTGCACCTCTGGCTGGTTCTAATGTGTTTATATTGAACTAGTCAAAAGGCCAAAGGCTGTAGTGAGTGCATGAGTCTTGGATACACACTCAACATACCTGGATACTTTAAGGCTGAACTGGGGCTGTGCTGTGTTCTCTCTTGTTGCTGTTAATGAAGGTGGTCAAGCTCCTCAATGCATTGTCATTCACAAAACAAAGAGCTTTATAAAGTCCCTCAGATATCTCCTGCACCCTGGTGTTAGGGCTGCCATAAGGACAACCAAAAATAAAAGAGAAAATAAGGGGAATGACTTTGCAACGTGATTACTACACTCACTGGCTTTATACTGCAGGACATCTATGCTATATATGGGTGGTGACTGAAGATACTAATGACTTCAGTTTCTGCTTCTAACTTACCAGCAGTGACAGCAATAAGTTTGCCTAACAAGGACACAAAATACCAAAACAATTTCTAATTATGGGTCAAGATGTTTCCACGGGTGCATTATGACATTTAGATTACAGAAAAAAAGCAGTTACTATGTTTCTTTTCCACTTTTGTAGCTTGCATCATTGCAGATACTTCTTTTGGCTAAAAAGGACACCTCTGTATGGTATCAAATTCACCACAGACTGACTTTCTTTAACTACATTTGGGTTTAACATGTACTAAGAATTTACTTGCAGGCTTCACATGCGGTTTTCCGCAATTAAGTGCATTAATTACAATTTTCACTGAAAGAAACAGACACTAGGAAAACTGCTGACAATGTATTCTGCTGAATTAAATCTGGCTTTTTTTTATGTACACTTTTCCAAAGTAACAGAATAAATACTCACCTCATAAAAGGAAAAACAATCACAGTCCTGTATGGTGTAAAGAAATAAGTAAGTGTTAACACATTCACTGTGAAAGTGCTCCTCTGACACATCTGAATGCAAGCAGAATACAGTTGAAATTATTATTGTCTTAACTACAATTGACAATATATCTATTTTATGTCTTGGTAAACTGAAGATATTTGGGTTTTGAACTGTTAGTTGCAATAAAATAAGCAATTTGACCTTGACCTGGTCTGGAAAGTAGTGATGGATGTTTATTACAATTTGGCCATTTTATAGATTAAACAAACTAAAAAAATTACCTCTAAATGATGTCAACATTTAAAATTGCTTTAAAAAAAAAACAAACAAAAAAAACACTGTCATGTCAATGTACATCATCTTTTGTGTAAACCATGATTGAAAATTATAATCATTTAGTCATGACCTTGCATTACCGTCCAGACTCACAGCAAAACACTCTTAACGATTTCCATTGTTTAATGGTCACAGTTGAAGCACATGATATAAAAGACTATTTACACTGATAGTTTAAAATAAAACAAAAAAATAGACACACATACCCAGCAGCTGCTACTACCTCAGTGTGCTCCTCAAAAGTAGCAACCATACATGAAAAAGCCACGTCAAAAATTTAAATGGGAGTAAAGTGCATGTATGACAGACCTCCCTGTACAGACATTTCTGATAGACTGCAGAGAAGCTTCACTTGCCAGTCACAGGCACACTCCTAAAAATGTGTGCAAAAAAAAATGTACACACCCACATGGTAAAGTTGTGCTACACGGTCACGCTCACACACGGACACAAACCAGATATAAAAACATGTACAGTTCCTAAAATGTCAACACTCACAATATAGACCTTTACGTCGTGGCAGAAAACTCACAAAAATACACAAGTCTGCCTTCAACCCCCAATCCCTTAACCTACATTTTCTCCCACATAGTAATACATACAGAAAATCTCTAGTTTGAGTGGCATCAGAACTGTCAGAGGACACAAGAGAGATGAGTTTACTTCAGTTTATCGAGTAGTTAAGTTGAAATTGTTTCTGACGGACATTCCAGGAATCCAGAGTCTGACTTGACTTAGTCAGATTTGGTTCAGACTAACGGAGGTATTGTGTAGTCAATACAAACATAAATTAAAAAAACCAAACAACAAAAAACCCAAACAGCTTGCCTCTTCTCTTTGCATTTTGATTCAATCAACAGCTGTACAACTACGTAACCATGTTCAGTTGACATTCTTGTCACCAGCTCTGGCTACACCGTTCTTTGAGGGAAAACACACTAATCTGTGGATCAACCTGAGCTCTTGTGTGTTTAGACGCACTGCTGCTGCTCTCAAGACAGCAGAATTGACTTTGATTGGTATTATTTGTCAGTACAAAGTATACCCGCCAAATCATTTGAACCAGATCAGCAGGTTTGAGTGTTGAATTGAGGTTGGGCAGATTCATGTACCTGTCAGATTGTACCAGAACAGCTGTATAATTTTTCTTGGTAGCTACCCAGCACGACTAGCAAATATTAATGAGGAGACATGAAAGCACAAGAAGAGGAAAACGGAGGATATATTCCACCTAACATCAGGTTGGACTTTTTAATCAAGTATCAAGTTGATAACGGAGAAACCAGCAATGCTGCAAAGAGGGTATATGTGCAGGCTCAGGTGTATTTACATTTGAAACAAGCTGCCCATATTCATCTGGATGATTGTTTTTGCTGCTTTATGAATGTCTTCAGAAAGTGTTATGCTACACACAGCGTTTCTTCCAATTTGACTCATTCATTTCATTTGACCAGAACTTTCATAACCTTGTCATTGTTCTTGCATGAGGCAAGTGTCTCATATCACAGATTTCACACAGCTCTTTGTCGATCTGCAGGGAAGAAACATCCAGAAACGACTTAATGTATCCCTTAAGGCAAGAGGCGTTGGTTTGTTTTGTCCATTTCTCACAGGTGTATATGACCCCCCACTCACACACACACACACACACACACACACACAGACAGTGAGGATTACATGGTGTGGTAAAGAGTACTAGCAGTTCTTTTCTTAAGCCGCCTCAGGGGGTGAGTTCTTCCATATTGCTGCCTTGTTGTCAGAAGTGTTGGCCCAGGCAACTGCAGTGAATCTTGGACAGAGTCTGGGAGTTGTCCTCCCTGCGGACTATGATTTGATGGTGGAAGTGGTAAGGTTTCCCCAGCTTCAGAAAGACTCTCCACACCAATCCTGAGGACTTCTGGTTGCTGGCCAGCTGAGGAAGGAGAGGTGTGGACCCGCTGCTTCTTGGACTCGTCGATAACTGCATGGATGGGAGTTTTTGCTGAGGACGGAGATACAGAGGAGCGGCTGAGCTCCCACTCACTCAGGTCATTGGCAAGCAGCTCCAAACAGCCCAGTTTGGCCAGAGAGGCTGAGCGCTTCATAAGGGATGGAGGGGTCAGTCCCGCCTGCCGAAGCCTGGCTTCCACCTCTCTGACGCTCCTCTGGACACCACTACCCTGCTTCTGAGTGGTTCTGACACTGTGGCCAAAAAACTGGTCCACACACCTGGCCTTACAGGCGCCGCCCATGCTCACCTGCTGCAGGAAGGCACCCAGCTCGCACAAAGTCTCCCATGTCCCCCTCATGATAATGTCACTATGGGGTAACTCTGTGGAGAAGTCCCAGTCTGTGCCTGACTCATGCTCCGTTACACCCTCCAAACACAGGAAGTTCACAGAGGCAAAAGGAGAACTGACAGAGCGGTGGAATGAAGAAGAGGTAGAGCGCAATCTAGTATCAGCAGGTTGGAGTTTGTGTCCTTTTGCGCTTCCATCATTATTTCCAAGTGCCTCCATCTCAACTACATCACCACTCTCCCTTTTAACTGGCCCACCCTTACCATCATGCTCCTGCTCTTCCTGCACGTTGCTAACAACTGACACCTGCGAGCAAACTGATGAATCCTGGGGATTAGCCACCATCGCAAGATGGATGCTGGCTGGACGCTGCTGAGAGCAGGAGGAGCTGCTGGAGAGGGATGGTGGAGATGACGAGGGTGACGGAGTCTCATGCTCCTGTTTCATTCTTTGCTCCAGCTGTCGTGTGACACGCCGCACAGACCCCCTCGTCCAATCACTGTAGAGACCAGCAGGGGCCTCCTCTTCCTTGTTTTTCACTTCCTCCTTAACATCATCAGCTTCCTTCTGTGATATAACATCACTATCCTCCTGCATCGACTTCTCCACTTTCTGGTCCTCTGGGCCCTGAGGGGGCTCTGGTTGTGTAAGAGGGCCGAGAGGTGAAGCCTCTGTGAGCAATGCAGGCTTCAGTCCTGCTACCTGCACAGGGACGGTCATTTCCTACAAAGAAAAGAGCAATAATATTAACGATTCAGTTTAAATGCCAAATAAAAGTGTCAGTATATCCATGGCGTTGTTCAGAAGACATTTAAGTAAATCTGATTCAGATGTGACAGATACTCGACTTTGAGTGTTCCACTTTTGTGCCACCAGGTGGTGGCCTTGGACTCAAGAAAACAACAGCTAAACTATGTAAACAAATTATTATTTTAAGATTCATCTGATGTGGTTTCAATACACACTAAAATATCCAGAAAAATTCTCAACATATAGGTTATCAAAATAATTCTAATATTATATTACAATGGGCATTTTACACAAGCGCAGATAAAAACATCTGTACACTTATCTCCATTGGAAACACCTAAATTAAGTCCTTGGTCAGAGCATGAAAAGCGCCTGAGAGATGTTTGCTTAGACAATAAATTGGGTGTTTGCAATGGAAGTAAGTGTGCAGAAGTTCTGGAAAGTTTTGCTACAAGCAGCGGCCCTACCTTTCTTTTGCCCTCCTCCTTGCCTTCACTAGCGGAGCCCTCCTGGGGAAGCGGTTGCTGTTCTTTGCCACAACTCTTCAGCTGGGGCGACTGCTGCACTGCAGCAGAGTGAGGTTTACCATCTTGACTCATTCCCTTGAACTTTTCCCTGGCACTGAAAAAGTTAATGTGATCTGCACTGTGGCCGAACAATACCTCGTTGTCTTGAGGAATGGCACTGGGGTAGCTGATAAAATCACGAATGGAGGGAGGACGGGCTGCTAAGCCGTCCAAAGACAAGTCACACATCTGTTGGTCACAGTCTGTTTTTCTGACAGGCACTGGTGCAGACAGACACTGTCCAGCCTGTGTTGTCATGGGCTCAGGCAATGACACCAGCATCGGTTTTATCGCAGCCTGAGCGCAGGACAACACCTCTGGTTTCATAACTTTATCCACGCAGGCTGGAGGAGATGGAGCAGGGGAGAGGGGGAGGTGGTGAAAGGATGGAGGCGGGTGAGGCTGACCCACTAAAACACTCTGTGCAACAGTCACCATGTCTGTCTTTTGAAGCTCAGGCACCACAGTGGCGGCTCTTGGCTGGGAGAGAGGA